TGTTTAAGGAAAAGGGGAATCGGATACACATATCCAAGGGGAGTGATACCAAACACATGTTGAAGAAGACATTGGTACATCCGGCCATGAAAATTTTGATGATGATATTAATGATTCTCTTTCTGTTGTAGAAATCTTTGAGGATGCAGATCTAGATTTTAATGCTTTATTTCCTCAAATGGAGAAATGGACTCGAGATCATCCTAAAGAACAAATTCTTGGTAATCCTAACTCAAGTGTTTTAATAAGAACATAGTTAAGAGGGAGAAATGAAGTTCTTAATATAAATCAAGAATTTTTCATGTATCATGTTTTCATCTAAAAAATTAAACCAATGACTGTTAAGGTTGCATTAGAACACCCTGATTGTGTTGTTGTTGTGGAAGTTGAACTCGTTGAGTTCAACAGAAACAAATTCTAGAGGTTACTTCCTACACCTGAAAATGTTTGTGTTGTTGGACTTAAATGGGTTTTCAAAAATAAAGTAGACAAGGAAGGAAATGATGTTCTTAATAAAGCAATACTTGTTATAAAAGGGTATATAGTCAACAAGAAGGTATTGATTATGGTGAAACTTTTGTTCATGTTGCAAGACTCGAAGTTGTTAGAATTTCTTTTTGGTTATATAGCTCACAACAACTTCGATGTTTATCAAATGGAGGTGAAAGGTGCTTTTCTAAATGGTGTACTAGAAGAAACAGTATACGTAGAACAACGACCTGGGTTTGTAAAGGATAAATTTCCTAATCATTGTTATATTCTCGATAAAGCTGTTTATGAATTAAAATAAGCACCAAGGGCATGGTATGCAAATTTAACCATTTTTTTTAAGATCTCTATATTTTAAAAGGACCATTTGATCCTACCTTATTTCAAAAAAAGTGGGGGATCATTTAATGATTTTTCTAATTTATGTTGATAAATATTTTTGGTTCCACTGACACTGCTTTCTCAAAGGAATTTGAGGATTTAATGGACAGTCTGTTTGAAATGAGCATGATGGGGAAGATTAACTACTTCTTGGGTTAAATATTTGACAATACAAAGAATAAATTTTTATCAATAAGGAATCTTACACAAAGAACTTACTTGAAAGATTTGGCATGATGCAAAGCTCAGATGGAAAAGTCGCAATGGCTTTTGGCACAAGATTGATTCCTTCGTTAGATTAACTAGTTTTTATATTAAGACATATCGAAGCATGATTGATTCCTTATTATATTTAATAGAATGTAGACCTGATATCATGTGTTATGTGTGTAATTGTGCTAGGTATCAAGCTAATCCAAGGGAACCACATCTTACGCTATGAAAAATATCTTTTGATATCTTTATCAAACTCCCATACTTGGTCTTTGGTATCCTACAAAGATTGGATTTTTCATTCAACCTTATTTGGATGCTGATTTGGGTGGTCGTTAACTATAAAGTGTAATTCCAATTCGTCATAATCTAGTTCAACATTTGAAGACTAAGCACGATGCTCTTCGATATCATTTTATCAAAGATCATGTCAAATATGGTAATATTGAGGTACATTTTATCCAAACAACTGATCAAACACTAGATACTTTCATGAAAGCTCTTGGTGAAAAGTCTTTTATAAGGATTTTAAATGGCTTGGGAAAGATGGAGGCATGTTATTTTCCAACGTCAAGCTAGGTTTTATGTTCTTTGATATCGAAGTCACTGCTCATTGTTGATACTTCAATATTTTGTGAGTTTGATATTGGCTTTGAATCATTTTGAAGTTATTGTTCACGTTTCACACTTCAATGCTCTTCAAATTTGATATTCATGTTGAATCATTCAGAAGAGTAAGTTTTACTATTTAGGCTTTAACATATTTCTTATTCGATATTGGTACGTTCTTTATTTTTGTTTTTTCTTTTTCAAAAATCAAAAACTCCAAAAAATATTTTAATATTTTTATACATATATATATATATATATATATATATATATATATATATATATTCAGTAATTTGTTTTAGGAATACTTAGTATTCTAGACAGAAACAAACGAATTGACGAGTATATCTTAAAAAATTAACCCTTTACATTCTACGTTCATACCAACTTAGAATTATGGTTAATTGAAAATTGTTTTTATGATCAAATCCGTTTCACAATGGATTTATGTGAAACTCATTTTCCATCTTCTTATCTAACTTTCTTACACAATTCACACACATAGATGCAAAACCCATTTGATCGCTAGTCAAAACCAACTAGAATCATGGTCTCGCTAAAACTCTATGTTTATGATCTTGAAGTCATTGTTACCATGATTTCAGCGAAACCACCAAAACAATACCATTAATGAATTGTCCGTGAAAAATTTATTGTTCTAGATTTTACCATGGAATTGACGGAAGAAACTCTTTACATTTCACTATGCGTCTGCACAATGTTTAAAATCTCATACTTCATTTCTTTGCAAGATCTTAATGAATCAGACTTCTTACAAGTCGTTCCTTTACAAGAGATCCATTTTTTCATGATATAAGATTTCAATTTAAACATTTTCAATACTTTAGTTACTTAAGTCTAGCTCATGTCTACTTGCATTAGATATACTGATCACTCAAAGATTTTCATACATATCATTGCTCTTATGTTAAGTTGCATATATGGTTGGAATGTTGATAATATAATATCAATTGTGAAGACGTTAATGGAGGATGTTCGAGCTTTCAATGTCGAATACAAGGCTGAGTTAGCCAAGAAGGATGTTTCCGATAATGCACTTTTCAAAGGATTTGAGAACTCTCTTAATTATTTTCAATAACAATTTTCTACGTATGAAAACAATTTGTAATCTTCCATGTCTGACCAATATCTCTCAAAATCCTTATCTTTGATAGAAGCGACTCTCAAAACTCAACTTGCTCTCATTTTGGATTTGGTAGCGAGGCTTCCTATAAATGATCCACATGCTTTGCAAGTGTCCAAAGGGGGAGAAAAGGGAGTATCATCAAAGATTGAAGGATGAGAACTGACGAAAGAAACTCTTTATGTTTCACTATGCCTCTGCACAATGTTCAAAATCACATACTTCATTTCTTTGTGAGATCTTAATGAAATTGACTTCTTCCAAGTCGTTTCTTTACAAAAGATCTATTTTTTTTCATGATATCATATTTCAATGTGAACATTTTCAATCCTTTAGTCACTTAAATCTAATGCATGCTTACTTGCAGTTAATTATACAGATTACTCAAGGATTTTCATAGATATCATTGCTCTTATGTTAAGTTGCATATATGTTTGGAAATAAGCCTACCATAGATACCTATGGAAATAGTACCTTCAATATTTCTTTATATGTATTCGATTGTAATTCATAGGAAACCATAGATGCACTTCGATATCTCTCTAGATGTCGAAGGAAGACAATATTTGCATGGGATCATTTTCCTTTTATATTAACTTTTTTTGCTATCACGATTATATATATATATATATATATATATATATATATATATATATATATATATATATATATATATATATATATATATATTAATTTTGACTCTCAATTTTTCTTTGGCACACAATAGTACTAGAATCCTCGAGGTTTCAAGTAACACCGACTTGAGCTAAAGATTCTATAAAGTCTAGTTTATGATTCCATTAATTTTTCTAGTAAGTGGATGAGACCCTACCTTCCCTATTCTCATGACAAAAGCCAAAATGATGTTCGATGTTAAAATGTTTGATGTGTTATGTTTGCTACGTACAGAAGTGACTGTTGCATAGATCGTGTCAACTTGCTATCGCTTTATCGACTTTCAAGGGAAAACACTCATTGCTTTTACATGTGGCAGATAATGATGATGTCTCTTGAGTTAATTACTTTTCACTTGGTAGTTTTTTAGTGGCTATCAACTGAAATTTAAATTTACTCCATAAAATTCCTCTCAAGAACCCTAAACCTAATTTCCTTCATCATATGTGAAATTATGTTGATAATTTTTCAATCATCTCGCATGGGCATTTGTTTTCTACTACTGATGAAGAATCCTCTATTCTGCAAATGAAGATTCGATCTATTAATGTCTAGTTTAATCATGATATCAACGCTTATCCTGAAGGTCTTTAAATGATCGTTCTATATCTAAATGAGTCTGTTCTACATCAAACTCTTTCTACATCATTTAGTATTTTGATGCAGTGGTTATCACTTGCATGCTCAACGGTTGTGTACAAAAAGAGTATGGACGTGATTATGTTTCAGATGGAATCAAAGGGAAGAAGAATATGTCGAAAAATCAATTTTCTCCAATTCTCCAATTGGAAGTCATTGCTTCGTTTGAGGTTCCTTCTTCTAACCAAATACTAGCCATGTTAAATGAAATGAGTTAGTCTCCTTCAATTACATTGATCAATGATTTTTTCAAGTCGAAATTACCATCAGCATGGAGTTTTTGTGGGGGGTTATCATACGGTGTTTAACAGGAAGAAATTATGGATTGGATAAATGCAATATTTAGTTATATACTATTTTGTTAGGTTTATATTACAATCTCAAGGTAGATTATACTTCGCTTCTATGGAATGAGTTTACTAATTTCTCAATCATTCAAATAAGGTGATAGAGATTGTGAGTGCAAGGCTTTGTAGTTTAATCTTGAATGAGGCGTATCAACAAGCAAGAATTCTGGTTCCAGCATATGTCGAAATTTCTGAGTATTCTACACTTCAAATTCCAAAGACGATGTTTGATAATCCAACTGAGTTTCATTCTATTGGAAGGATTCCTGAAGCTTTGTTATGTTTGGTTCCAGTATCGAACCCGGTGTTGATTCGTTATTGGGAGTCGATAGTATGTGTTTCTCAGGTTTCTACTCTAAATAATTCTAAGACAAGATCGAAGGGAGTGGTTATTCAAGAACCAAATGGTAAAGAAACAGAGGGAAAGAAAATCAGTTGGAGTGTTAAAAACCTTTTCAAGTAAAAAGTTAGCAACCAAACCATTGCGTTGAAGAATCACGAGGATGGTTGTCAAACCAGATGATGTAACTAATGTTGCTACCGCTGAGAATGAGGAAACTAATACAAAGAATATGACTCAAGGTCAATCTTCATATTATACTAGAAAGGAAAATGCAGATGATGTTGATCAGTTAGTTAATGTGTACTTTCTGATTGATCCTCCTCATGTTTCACTACAATGGGTTCCCACTGTCAAATCTCATGCAGAGGAGATACATAAACTAGATATCACTGTAAACACGTCTAATGTGGACAAAAATATCACAACTCTTGAAACAACTTTGACATCGGTTCCTCTGTTCGACGACTGTTACTCCACCATAGATTTCTACTATTGAATCTAATACGGAGGATATTAGGAATCCAGACATCCCTGATTACACATCTAATGTGGACTCAAATGTCAATATTTGTGTGATTCCCTCTATTTATCTTTCGACATTACTTGCAGCTGATTATACTGAGTACCCAAGGATTTTCATGCATATCATTGCTCTTATGTTAAGTTGCATATAAGTTTGGAATATTGATAATCTAATATCAACTATGAAGACTTTAGTGGAGGATGTTCGAGCTTTTAATGTCGAATACAAGGCTAAGTTAGCCAAGAAAGATGTTTCAGGTAATGCACTTTTCAAAGGATTTGAGAACTCTCTCAGTTCTTTTCAAGAACAACTTTCTACGTATGCAAACAATTTGTCATCTTCGATGGCTAACGAATATCTCTCCAAAGCCTTATATTCGATAGAAGCGACTTTCAAAATTCAACTTGCTCCCATTTTGGATTTGGTAGTGAGGCTTCCTATAAATAATCCATGTGCTTCTCAAGTGTCACAAGGGGGAGAAAAGGGAGTATTGTCTAAAATGGAAATAGGAGATGATAAAGGGAAAATTTTTGGAAAATTATTTTCTCATCCAGTTTCAATTCCAATTCCAAAAAAGCTAATTCAAACAATGGCAACAACTCTAACTTCTAGTTTAATTGTATCTCAAAACATGGAGGTTGATTTGAGAAAGTTATAGTCGGAGAAGGGGATAACAATTAATGAAGGTAGTTCTCGATAGTTAAGATAACAAGTGTAATGGACAAAGACAAAGGCAAAGGAAAAGAATTTACTAATGAAGAAAAAGAAAGGGTTGAAAGAGTTAGAGATTGAGAAGCTGAAAACAGTTGAATAGCTTCTTAAGACAAAGAGATAATGATCCACCATGTTTCAATAAGGGTGATGTCAAAAAAAACTTGGAATTATGAGACAATAGAATCAATTGCATTTGGAGAAGCTGATGCATTTGATAAAATGCCAAGGAGAAGTTTGTTAGCGAGAATTCATCATTACACGAACTCAATTGTCCTTTTAATCCTTTGATGTTCACCTTTCCACAATTCAAGTTGCTTAAAAACTTTCAAGATGAAGAAGATTAAAAAAGTACCAAAATAAGGTTTCATAAGATTCTTGGAAAGAAGGAGGAAGAAATTTGGTCTGTAAATAATATTGTTAAGCTTCAATATCGAAGGATGTGAAGTTTGAGAATCTTCTGCAGAGTTATCGACACAAAGTCATCAGAGTTTATAATAGTGTTTGTGAGTTTACAATTACATACTTCCCTTTGATGAATCTTAATGATCTTATCACCTTAACATATCTTATCAATAGTCTTTATGATAAGCAAGTTACTCATAAGAGAACATACAGTTTAGGACATGCCCATGTGAAGTACTTCATTTATTGCTATCTTGCACATCTAAGATTGACTGATTTTGAGATACCAAACATATACAACAAGCCTAGAAAGAATGCAAGTGCTAAATTGGATAGTTTCGATATTGAGCAGTATGATGATGGACAGATTGCATTAAAACCATTATGAGTTGTGTTTCAAGGAAAGAAGGCGAAGGGTGTTCAAAAGAAGCATTTATTTTACACTGATTTGAAAGATATGTATTCAACTTCAGACTTGACAAACATTTTGCTCAAAATAGTGAAGTATGAGAATAATACAGATTTAGATGGATGGAGATAAGATAAGTTGTATGTTGGTACTTGGAAATTTACAAGACACTCATGGAAGTTGTGAAGAATACCTGAAATTATTAGTCAAACAACGTCGATTATGGGGGCTTATGGTAATACATTAGATCACCATAGAGATTCACCTGCCATTAAGGACGCCTTAGAATGATAGATAAAAATATGTTGGGATTGTTAGATATCCTACAAAGGTAGTAAATTAGGATTCATAAGTATATCCTAAAAGATAAATATGTTAGGATCCTTAGATATCCTACGAAGATACTAAAATAGGATTAATAAATATATCCTAAAAGATAAATACGTTATGATCCTTAAATATCCTACAAAGATAGTAAATTAGGATTAATAAGTATATCCAAAAAGATAATAAGTTAGTGTCGTTAGATATCCTATAAAAATTGTAAATTAGGATTAATTAGTATATCATAAAAGATAATACGGTAGGATCATGGTTCTAAAAAACGCGCCATGGCGCGCCTCAAGGCGTGCCATGGCGCGAGGCATGGTGTAGTCGTTACGAAAACGTCCAAGGCGGGTTTGTTAAGTGTGGTGCCCAAATAACGTGTCAAGGCGCGCCTTATCGCGATATGGCACGAGTTTTTTTCAAGGCGCGAGTTTTTTTTTGTTAACCTTTTATATTAAATACTAATATAACACTTCTAAAAACTTGATATACTTGATAAAAATCAATAATTATATGATTTATCTCTTTTAATATATATAAAATAGTCACGCCTTGAAAAATGCCATGGCTCGCCAAGGCTTGTCATGGATTAACTTTTACCTTGCCGCCAAGCCACGCCTCACGTTATTTAGAACCTTGGGTAGGATCATTAGATATCCTAAAACATAGTAAGCTAGGGTTGATAAAATACTTTAGGAAAGTCTTTTCCTAAAGAAATAGGATTCTTAAAATACAACGCATTAAATACTAAAAACTATAAAAACCTGTGCACTCACAAAGATTATGTTGATGCTTTCAAAAATCGCATGTCTTCCTAGGAAGGAGTAGAGATCAAGTCAAGGAAGATAATCAGCATAAAGACTTGCATCAAGTTGTTGTTAGTGTGACCATTTAGGATCATATGTTATCTAGCAATATCATTCTATAATTACTCTTAGGCATACATGATCTTCCAATGTCTAACTTGCCCAAGACTCATCATAGATTGATATATGGATAATGGTGAATGTCTCGCAACATTTAAATGCACCCAATAACATATAGAATATAATTAAATTCATTAACATCCAATTCCTAAAATCTAAAAGCGTCAATTGATTTATAAGGGCAAGTTTATCAGTTAAACCTTTGTTATAAAGATCTTGTTGAACATGAGACTTGGATCTCAATCGATCTCATTTGATGTTCAACTTTGGGTACCGCGGTAGATGTCTAATTCTCAAAACATAAGAGGAACAAATTCCATTTTGAATACATAAGTCTCTTGTATATTTCACACCATACCTAAAAATAGATTTTATAGCTTCTTTGTTAAAGATAAACATTTGACCATATCAAAGAAAAACAGTCTCTGTACTTAAGTCTTGCTACGTATCTCAGCTGTTAAGGATACAAAGATAGTACCTTTTAATCAAGTTTCACTCACGAAATCAATCCATTAGAAGATTATGATGCAGGTTCATTCAGTACCAGTTCTCTAACAAGTACATATGAAACTTGGTTACAACCACTTGCTTATTTTCATCTAGTGAGAGTCAACCAATCTAATTCATATTAGTCTCACTTCATATTTGCTCCCAGAATTATAACCAACTATGAACTTTTAGAATAATAAGATTATTCATGGATTATACATGTTAATATAGAAAAAAAAGTATTTATGTGATGATCATATCAAAATATATCAAAACAATAAAACGCAATTTCTAGAATAATAAAGTGTTATAGATGAAATGCAACGACTCATACTTAGCTTAAAAGAAGGACTTTAATAATGGGTCCAACCAAATTTAATTTGTGTAAATTTTATGAATAAATATCATCTCCATATTTGAATTTAGTCTAAGTATAGTTAAGTATCTTGGAGAATATGATTGGTGTTCTGATGTGACACAAAGTCTCTTAGATTGATTAACTACACTCTATAAGTCATAAAAGATTTCTATGTTATCCATGAATAAAAGGACTCAACATATTCTTTCAATGATCTAGTTAATCCTATCACATTTGATTTCAACTTTTGAAGTAACAGTTTATTCATATTTAGTAGATTATGTAGCTATGTTATTCTTGGACATCATTCGAACAAAACTTTCTCTTCATTCCACAATGAAGTCATAATCCAATTATAATTTAAAATTATTGTTGGGTATAAAAGAAGATTGTGTCATTGGGCTTTTAGCTTAGTCCATTGTATTCACGGTATTGGGCCTGTCTAGCCGTGATTTATTAATTAAGGCTTACATTATACAGTGCATGCATGCATCGTTTTATGCACGGTGTGAATTCTTATCTTTCTAGTGATCGTATTATGTGACAATCCTCAAATTCCGGTTAAGTCAAAGGCAAATAAAGTCATCAAGTCAAACCCGTCAACTCAATTAGCCCTTGTATACTAGGGTTTACGTTATGTAATTACTGTACAACTCGTATTTTAATAAGAAATCATCATTTGGAAAATTCGTATTTTTAGATTTCTGTAACCCTAATCGGGGTAAGTGAGTTAACGAAACGATAAAACAATACTGCATACCCATCGGGGGTGTGTAAGATCCTTAAACATGACTTAACGGGGTTTACGGACCTTGCGTTGCAAAGCCAAACACTCAAAAAGGTCACAAATGAAGCCTCTCCCAATATCTTTCACTCTATCTCTCTCTATTATAAATCTCTCCCAAATCTCTCTCAAAAGCTCCTTTAACTTTCCGTAATCATTCGGGTCATCCCGACCCTTAACCGGGTCAAAAACCACTTAAAACGGGGTAAAAATAGGTAAGATAGCCTTAAGGAACCGAAACCCTCTCTTAAGGGGCGAACCCTCTTAAGAACCAAAGTCCCCTATAGGGACCGAACCTGCTAAGGACCGAGACCTAAGGGACCGAACTGCTCAGAACCGAAACTAGCCTCTTAGAACCGAACCCGAAGCTGCTGAACCAAAACCACGAGGACCGAACTCGAAGGTCCCTTCGGACCGAACCTCCTCTCGGTCTATTTCGCTCCTCGCCCAGGTTCGCTTCTGACACTTCGCCTTCGCTCCTAGCTTCACAAGCCACTTCAGTCCCCACCTCCTTAGGACCGAAACTTGCCACCTTCGGTTCCACAATGCGAGAAGCCTCGCAGG